CTCCAGTCTGGGCGACAGAGTGAGACTCCAACTCAAAAACAAAACAAAACAAAAAAAAACAAAAATTTAATTTGAATACAATCTCAAAACTTTTTTTCCTTTGAGTTGGAGTCTCACTCTGTCACCCAGGCTGGAGTGCAGTGGCATGCTCACAGTCACTGCAGATTTGATCTGCTGCATTCAGGCGATCCTTCCACATCACCATGCCCAGCTAATTTTTTGATTTATGTAGAGATGAGATCTCAACATCTTGCCCAGGTAGGTCTCAAGCCCCTGGGCAATCCTCTTGCCTCAGCCTCCCAAAGTGCTGGGATTAAAGGCACGAGCCACTGCAGCTGGCAAAATTTTTCTTATAACCACCAAGTTTGCTAATTCTTGGGAGAAGTGTTTTTTTTTTTTGAGTTGGAGTCTCACTCTGTCGCCTAGACTGGAGTGCAGTGGCCGCTCCCGGCCACCGCAGCCTCGACCTGCTGGACTCTGGCGATCATTCTGCCTCAGCCTTCAAAGTAGCTGGAACTACAAGCGCGCGCTACCATGCCCGACTGATTTTTGATTTATTGTAGAGATGAGGTCTCGCCTGCCCAGGCGGGTCTGGAATCCGCGGGCTCCGGCAATCCACTCACCTCAGCCTCCCAAGGCGTGGGATTGCAGGCTGAGCCACTGAGCCCGGCTATTTTGTTTTTTGCTTTTTTTTTAGTTGGAGTCTCACTCTGTCACCCAGACTGGAGTGCAGTGGCTGCTCCCGGCCACTGCAGCCTCAACCTGCTGGGCTCCGGCGATCCCTTCCGCCTCAGCCTTCCAAGTGGCCGGAATTACAGGCATGCGCTACCACGCCCGGCTGATTTTTTGATTTATTGTAGAGATGAGGTCTCGCTGCCCAGGTGGGTCTCGAACCCGCGGGCTCAGGCAATCCACTCACCTCAGCCTCCCAAAGGCGCGGGATTACAGGCTGAGCCACCGAGCCCGGCTGTTTTTTTTTTTTTGAGTTGGAGTCTCACTCTGTTGCCCAGACTGGAGTGCAGTGGCACGCTCCCGTCCACCAAAGCCTCAACCTGCTGGGCTCTGGCCATCCTTCCACCTCAGCCTTCCAAGTAACTGGAACTATAGGCGCACGCTACCACGCCCGGCTAATTTTTGATTTATTGTAGAGATGAGGTCTCACCAAGTTGCCCAGGCAGTTCTCGAACCCGCGGGCACAGACAATTCACTCACCTCAGCCTCCCAAAGTGCTGGGATTACAGGCTGAGCCACCGAGCCCGGCTTTCTTTGATTTTTAAAAGCATGACTTAAAACACTGGAAAACTGGCAGGCATGGTGGCTCACATCTGTAATCCCAGAACTTTGGGAGGCTGGGGCAAGAGGACTGCCTGAGTTCACAAGTTTGAGACCAGCTTGGGCACCTTGGCGAGATCTCATCTGTACAATAAATAAATTAACCAGGTGTGCTGGCACACAACTGTGGCTCCAGTACTTGGAAGACTGACGCAGAAGGATCACCTGAACTCAGCAGGCCAAGGCTGTGGTGGCCGTGAGTGTGCCGCTGCATCTCCAGCCTGGGAGTCAGAGTGAGACTATGACTCAAAAAAAAAAAAAGGAAAACTTGCACTGTTGACGTGTTTTTACTTTTGGCAAGTCTGAGACAGGACTAGCTAAGTTTGTGCCAAAAACCAAGTCTTTCAAAACCCATAGGCTCTAAATGAGAGTATTTAGTTTAAATCAAGACGAGCTTTCAAAAACAAACTACCCAAACTAACCTAGCAATTCCACAACTGGATATATATTTGAGAATAAAAAAGACAAGCTGACATAAAAACTTGTATATAAATATTCATAGCAAAGGCGGGCTCAGTGGCTCAGCCTGTAAATTCCGCCCCTTTGGGAGGCTGAGGTGAGTGGATGGCCTGAGCCCCAGGGTTCGAGACCCGCCTGGGCAACTTGGGGAGACCTCATCTCAACAATAAATCAAAATGAGCCGGGCGTGGTAGCACGCGCCTGTAGTTCTAGCTACTTGGAAAGCTGAAGCGGAAGGATCGCCGGAGCCCAGCAGGTCGAGGCTGCGGTGGCCGGGAGCGGCCACTGCCCTCCAGTCTGGGTGACAGAGTGAGACTCCAACTCAAAAAAAAAATAGAAGAAATAAATAAATATTCATAGCGGCTAAAAAAATGACCCCCAAACCCCCCAAAACCTAAAATGCCCAACAACTGATGAATGAAAAAATGTGGTATATTCATACAGTGGAACGTTGCTCAGCCATAGAAAGCACCAACACATGCTACAGTGTGGATGAAACTTGAAAGCATGTTCAGTGGAAGAAGTCAAACACAAAGGGTCATATATTACACGATTCCATTTACATGAAACGTCAAATCTACAGAGACTGAAAGGAGACTACCGGTATGCCAGGGGCCAGGGGATGAAGGAAAAGGGTCATCGGGAGTGACTGCTTACTGGAGCTTCTTTTTTGAGGGGATAGAAATGTTCTGGAAATTGACAGTGGGGACGGTTGCACCGCACTGTGTACATACTAATAATCACTGAATTGTACTTTGAGCCCAGCAGGGCGAGACTGTGATGGCCGTAAGCATGCCACTGCATTTCAGCCTGCGAGACAGAGTGAGACCACAACTCAAAAACATAAATAAAATAAAATGGTCGCGTTTATGTTGTGCAATTATACATGAAAATTATTATTAGCCAGGTTCGGTGGCTCAGCCTATAATCCTGCGCCTTTGGGAGGCTGAGGTGAGTGGATTCGAGACCCGGCTGGGCAACTTGGCGAGACCTCATCTCTACAATAAAAATCAAAAGTTAGCCAGGCGTGGTAGCGCGCGCCTGTAGTTCCAGCTACTTGGAAGGCTGAGGCGGAAGGATGGCCAGAGCCCAACAGGTCGAGGCTGTGGTGGCCGGGAGCGGCCACTGCACTCCAGTCTGGGCGACAGAGTGAGACTCCAACTCAAAAAAAAAGAAAATTATTATTTATTTTAGAGTTTTGGGGTACATGTAAGGATCTGATACATAAGTAAATTATATACAGGTGAAGTCTGGGCTTCTAGCAAGCCCTCTCTTCTTTTGATAGTGGATATGGTATCTAAAAGGTGGGAAACTTTTATATGTATA